TGGAATAAATATTTTTGGGTCGATATGTTAGTTCACTTTTGAGCACAATAGTGTTATACATTCAAGTGTCGTAGTGCCAGATACATATGTTTTCTTATAATTAGATATTATATTCTATTTGTAGAAGAATTTAGTCACTTGTAAAACTTAGTACTTTTCTATGTGCTTCTCTAGCACCCTCTTATAGTAAAACCCAATGGAGGCTAGGAAAGTATAGGATATAATCTATTAGAGTGTATAACCTGTGTTTATTGAAGAAACTCTGAAGCGATGGAAGAAAGAGTGTAGAGGAGATACTTTGATCCTACCTAGCAATAAAATTTCACTACTTCTCTTGTACTCAGATTCTTCTATGAAAATAATGAAAATGAGTTTGCTTGTCATTTATTCTTTATTTGGCTACATTATTAAATTTTTTTTTTTTTATTGATGATATAAAGAGTATATTAAGTACTAATGAAGACTCTGATACTTTAAAGATTTAATGATGTTCTCAATTATCTTCCACTCTTTATTTAATGCACATAGTGGACATTTGTGTAGTTAAAATCTAGTGTGATGTATAGCCCTGATAAAGGAATGTAAGAATAATCAAGAATATTAAGATAGAATATTGGCATACCTAGACATATGATGTTTGAATACTCTAACATCTAAGAAGATATTATAACAATAACAGGTTAGCAAATATCCTTTTCACCCCTATAAGCTAGAAAGAGTTCTAGGAATGCACATGCTCTGAATCAGACCTACAATTAAGAATCTAATTATAAAAATTATGATATTTATATTCATCAATCAAAAATATTTTATTAATTATTATATCAATTATTTTGTTATTTTTATTTAGTGATAGAAACTAAAAAAACATCATCTTTTATTTCAATTGGATAACTTATGCATTTAGAGCAAGTAGTAATAATTTCATTACAAGTAAGCATGATACTTCCTCATCAGCTTGACACTCTACTTAATCTTTTATTACTCGATTTAGTATTTATACTTGCAAACATTTAATTGAGATTTTTATTATTGGCATATCAAAGAAAACTTAAGCATTATTTAGCATTGAAAGAATAAGCACTTATTACAGTCTGTATTTAAAGCCTTGCCATACACAACACCGCCGCAACCCCCCCCCCCCCTCCCCCCCCCCCCCCCCCCAAACGTCAAGTATCAATATACCTATTATCGAGGACAATAACTTTGAACTTAAACTGTCAAAATTCAGATGATTCAAAAATTTTAATTTGGGAAAACTTTTGTTGAGGATTAAAATCATCCTTTAGCTTTCTTCTTAGAAGTCTATACAACATTCAAATATAATGGTGTACATGATGATGTTATTAGGCTTTATTTGTTTCTATTTTTAATGTGATAAAGCTATGATGTGGCTGAATTCCTCGGGCTATATAACCACTTTTTATAATGGACTAGTGGGGTTCCTTAGATCAATTATAGATGCAGTAATTAGAGGATCTTTAATATCTATGTCATTTGAGAAAACTTATAAACAAATTGAGAAAATGGATACAAATAATTTTTAGTGGCCTTCTAATAGGATAAATCCTAAGAGAGTAGTAGGTGTTTTTGAATCATGATTATATCAATTCTTATTGCTCAGGTAACTATTATATCTAAGAAATTTGATGTTATTGGAGTTAGTTTATAATCATGATCACATATACAGTTAGAAGAGTGTGATTTAAATTTAATGGAGAAAATAATTCTCAAAGGATTGAGAATATAAATTTGACTAAAAGTTAAAATAATTCCTTTTCCTATACTTTAGGAGTGATGGTGATTCAGTGCAACTAAAATGACATATCTAGGCAAGTCAATCTGAAGACTACAAATTTAGCATTGTTTGGGATGCAACCCAATTATGTTTCTATGCTTCTTTATTTTTTGTAGTTTTTATTATGTGTGTGCGTTCTTTATATTATCTTTGAATTTCAATAATTTTCTTTTTGATTAGGTTATAAAAATTTTCCTTAGAAAAATGTATTGCAGTAAAAATTGAACTACAACTGTAGCAATAGAGTTTGAATTATCGTTGAATTTTTTCGTCAAGCTCTCGAGTCATGGTTCGACCTCGAGCACACGTGTCCGTGTCCGTCATTGCTCGCGTCTCAGAGTCGAGCTCGAGCTCGTCCGTCGTCTGCGTCGAACCGAGTCACGATTCGAGCTCGAGCACGCGTCCGCATTTGTCATCTGTCGTCTGCGTTGCTGTTCGCGTCGGAGTCAGCTCGAGCTCGTTGCCGCGACGTTGATCCTGCATCGGAGATAATGCACTCATCCGCAATGTTGCTAACCACTGGGAGCAAGAAAAATAGTGCAAGTCCTGATCGGAGAAGGCCGGAGGAGCTCGAGCTCGCTGTCGTGACTTGCTCCCGCTGCGAAGTCCGCTCCTGCGGCAAAGTCAGCTCCGGCGACGAATTCCGCTCCCGCGACGAAGTCAACTCCCGCGGCGAAGTAACCTCCCGCGGCGAAGTTCGCTCCCGCTACGAAGTCCCCTCCCGCGGCGAAGTTCGTTCTCGCTGTTCGAGCTAACTCGACGAGCTATCGAGTCGAGCATCCCTGTGTTCGAGCTCGATTAGTCGTCGAGCTCGACTCTCGAATTCGTGTTCGAGCTCGACTCGCGAGCTCGATAAGCTCGGCTCGTCGAGCCCATTAACGAGTCGAGCCGGCTTGGCTCGGTTGCACCCCTAGCCCCACCTATTGTGTACAGGTGTGGGAAGTAAAAGAAATGCATAAGAGGATGTCGATATATAAGTAAGCATCAGAACATGTGCATTCTAGACATAGCATTTATATTTTAACGTTTCTGCAATATGGTTAAGAAAGTTCTGAGTTATATTTTAGTAAACAATGAACTTTTGCATGAATTCTGATGATAATTGAAAATAAAAGTGAAATATAAGTGAATATCTAAAAATGAGTATTCTATGTGGCATTTGAAAAATTCAGTGAAAGTGATTATATGGTTATGAAAAGCAAGTATTGGCCTCAATATCATGTATACGTGCTGGAAATCTAAACAATATCTACTTTGCTTATGCTTTAAATATTTAGAAAACTTTTTTTTATTAATTGCTTTTAAATCAATTACTTTTATGTTTTGATATTTAAGATGGGTAAAGGCGGAGTCTACTAAGCTAGTTAAGCTTATTCTGTTCTTTTAATATTTCATGGAAAGCTAGAAGAGCGGAGAAAATTGGATTCTATAATTATAGCCTAAGCTTGAAGAAATGGGATTCAGCATTTCTAGCCTATGTCAAATATTTAAGTAAATTAGTGAAGGGTTTAGAAAATATCCCAATGGTGAAAGAAATTCCTGATGTCTTCCCTGAAGAACTATCTAGGTTGCCTCCAGAGAGAGAGAGAGAGAGAGGCAGAATTCTTTATTGAAGCCGTGCTAGGTACAACTCCAATAACGAGAACTACGTATAGGATCGCACTTAGGGAATTGCAAGAGTTGAGGGGTACAGTTGTTGGAGCTGTTAGATAGAGATTTTATCAAGCCTGGTGGATCACCTTTGGGAGCTCCTATATTATTTATATAGAAATTTTTATTCTTATAGATTTTATGAAGCTAAGGGATAATGTGAACTTTGGTTATTTATCTTTTGATGCCCTGCACATTATATAAAGCTAAGTTCTTTTGAAGATTTTTTTAATAATTCATGTCCTATCAGATTGATGTTCAGAAGCTTATGAGTCCCTTTGAATTAAGCCTCCAAGTAATGCATCTATCACTAGGAAACACTTACATGATTATGCTTAGAACCTTCGAAGTTTCATGGATTTCTAAGTTATCAATAATTAACCATGATCTTTTTTTTACAATCCATGGTTTATGTATGCTTCCCTTCTAGAGAATTTTAGGAGCAAAATCTTTATAGCCCTACAACAAAGGCAATAGATTTCATCTCCAGCATAAATTGATGTCTCCTTTATTGTGCTAATAACTCTATTGTGAATCAAATTCTCAGCATTAATATTTTGAACTATGGCATTTATAGCTATGTATTTTGGGGAAATTCCTTCTCCAATAAGCAACTACTGCACCAATTACATCAGGGTATTTCTAAGGTGGTGTGCACAGATAAATTTGATTCAAAAGTTTTGCTATTATCTATGCTTATATAGCTTGAAAAATTTTAAAAAAGGGGCTCAAAACTACTATCTTTTGAAAACAGGTGTGTTTAATCAAATGATGTATTTTGGCAGCCAACTCCATGAAAGTCGCGATCACCTATTTTTTTACTGCCAGATGTCCTTTTGCTTAAAAGTGGCATACCCAATGGTTGCTTTTTTGTCCCGGGAAACTCTTTACCTTAGGTTCTGGGTCATGTGAATTCTTCAACATGCAAAATTACCATGAAATTTTACCTCCTAGCTCTGTTCATGGAAAAATTATTAGGACCAGATGCCAGATATATAGATACGTCCAGTGTCCAATAAAATATTGATATGTGAAATGTACAAGTGTCCGCGGAATTTTAAGTCAAGCACGTCAAAAGCTCAGGTAAAGCGTAGATAAAGCACATGTAAAATGCAGGTAAAGCGCAGTCAAAGCATAGTCAAAGGCCAGCTAAAACGGAGTCAAAAAGCGCAATCAAAATGCAGTCCACATGAAAAATTTTAATTGGATATCCGGTTCTATTTTTAGGTTCGATGTCCGGACCTAATAATTTTTCTTGTTCATGCCACTACTTCTTACATGTGGTTGGAAGGAGAAACTGAATTTTTCAAAAACAAATGCAAATATGCTTATATTTTGACAGAAAATTTGTTATACTGTGAGATTAAAGAGAGTAAAAGATGGGTTACTTTAGAAGATCTTGCAAATTTTCTCCCCCAAAATATAAGCATTTCATGTATTAGCCGCAGCATTGCTGTTGAGGCTAACACGTTCTATTTGTCACAATACCGATGTTATAGTAATAGTAATATATATTGCAAATAATAAATATAAACAATATACACCCATCCCATAAAATAACTGTGAGCTATAGCTCACCATTTATTGAACAATCACAAATAAAAATCCACAATACATATAGATGACAAAATCATTAATAGAGCCCATATATCGTCTTAGCTTACAACATACAAAGTAAGAGCTAATGCGCATGAAAACATCCAAATTATCAGCTAGATTTCACTGCAGTCGACTAATCAAATCTACCATGCATCACTTACCATTCGCCTCTTGCAAAAGGAGCTCATCCGATCACATGCCTCACTCAATAAATCTGTAGGGAGTCCGAAGAATAATCTAACCCAGTTCTTCAAACCGATAATGGAACCTAGAATACCTCAAATAATTATTGCGATAGAATGGCATTTTCAAATAATGGAAGTTACTGATCATGCATGAACCAAGCAAGTATCAAGCTATCACCTTCAATTGTCACACTAATAGAGAAGAATATATGCCTTGAGAGAAAAAGGCAATTCGGTGAGCTAAGCTAACCCGGCGGATAAGGATAGCATTGTACATGAAACCAACTTGTTCATGGAAAAAATATCAATTATTGCAAAAGCAATAACCAATATAAACGAAGAATAAGAATGTATAATCTCTCTTTGGAGCTATATGAATACAACAGAGAAAATAAGATGGAGCTAAGGTTTCGTTTGGGACGCTTTCTTACTGCTTCTTAAAGAAATTTTTTAGTACAAAAATTTAAATTTTTATACTAGAAAGCTACTTTAAGAAGCAGTAAGAAAGCCGTCCCAAACAAAGTCTTAGTTGAAAACAACATGGAGCTTAGTTGATAAAATATAATGCATGCTGGAATGACTAAAATTATAGTCAAGATGTACAACAACAAATGATTATTTATGCGTTGGCAATTAAGCTACAGATATTTTCAATTGCTCCAAGTATACCAACCAATACACAATCCTATAATACAAATTTTAAGAACCAATAGGGATGACAATGCTAAGCAAATAAAGCAGATTAGTCTGGTTAGATGCTAACCTGGTAAGACCAAGACAGACTCCTCTTTCATCAATTCCTTTGCAAAGTCCATGTCGTTCTCAATGCCAAGAAGGCGGCTCGTATCCACCTCAACCTGTTATATAAAATATAAATAGAAAAGTAAAGAGTAGGAATAACAACAGAAGCTTGAAGAGAAAGAATGGTATGATCTCTCAGACAAAAAATTACCATCATGAACATGGAACCCTGAGGCCTGGAATAGCATTCGAGGACATCAATTTGCTCCAATCCTACAAAAAGAGTTTCCATACAGGACTCCAATAACGCTAACACATTCTCATGAAATTCAACGTTTGCATCTAACAGAATCGTTGGAACAGCAGCCTGCCCCAATGGAAGCAGAAGAAATTAGCACATCATATCCTACAATATTAAATAAGATTTCTCGTGACAATTAAAGTGATGGAGAGTATGAGCAAAACGGTAAGTTTAAAACCTGGATCACTGAAGATGGGCCAGGATTTATGTTCATCAGTATTTCAGTTGCCTTCCTCACCTGCACAGGCAAGAACCCTAAATACTTTTACATAAATAAAGAATAGAAACGAGCCAAACAAAAACACAGTCACTCACATAGTAATAAGTTGAAAGCTATAACCATACCTCTTGAAGGGTGCCATTCAAATCGCAAATTGCAAACCAACCGAATCTCCAGCCAGGAACCATCCAACGTTTAGACAATGAGCCGATAGTGATAACAGGCGCCAAGTGAGCGAAGGATGCCATAGGAATGAACCTTCCTCCCCCGAAGACGATCCCCCCATAAACCTCATCGGCGATGATGGGAATGTTCAAATCCCTAGCAACCTCAGCTATCTGCATTTCCGTAATGTCACAAAAGGGTTTAGGGAAGAGGAGGAAGATGGGAGATATCTCTAACCTGGAGGAGGTGTTGGGCGGAGAAAGCTGCGCCTGAGGGATTGTTAGGGTTGATGACGACGATTGCGAGAGTTCGGGAGTCAGCGAGGTCACGGATTTGAGACGGGTCGGCTTCCCAGCGGCAGGCGGGGAGGAGGTCATAATAGCGGCATTCGACGCCGGCGAGCACGCAGGCGGAGTCATAGAGAGAAAATCCTGGACGGGGCAGGAGGATGTTGCCGCCAGCAGATGCGAGGACAGATAGCGTAGACTGCAGCGCCTGCGTGGCGCCGACCGTGAGGTAGACATCGCTCTCGCGGATCTGAACGGTATGGCCTCGCGAATAACCACAGCCTTTCACCAAGCTCCGTAGGTACTCCGCCACAGCACTACCAGCAATTTGTCAACAATGGTAAAAGATCCATGAATATGCATGATTGTTCTTAAAAAATCAACCATTTTAAATAACGGTCCACGGGTGTAAGTTAGCCAAATTTTTTATTTTACTCATTTGCAAACTTTTATTTCGTCCGGTACGCAACTCTACGTTCGGCCGCCAGTAGAATCGCGTCACGCGTTTTCATTATTTACCGCGCGCCCCGACAACCGACCCGGAACGGATCCAAGATTGCTCGGTATTGCTAGGTATTGGTCGATTTTGCTCGGCAATAACCAATACCGAGCAAATACCTAGCAAATACCGAGTTGTACCTAGTTTTTTCTAGCAATACCGAGCAAATCCCTAACAATACCGAGCAAATCCCGAGCAAATACTGAGTTGTACTGAGTTGTACCGAGTTGTAAAAAACTAGGTATAACTCGGTATTTGCATGGTATTGGTCTTCACATAGCGGTATTTCTCATTTTTGCAAAGCAATACCTTGCAAATACCGAGCAATAACGAGAAAATCGCGAACATTGCATTTTTGGGTTCCGCTCCGGGTCAAGTCGTCGGGCCGCGCGGTAAAGAGTAAGAGCACGTGGCGACATGTTATTCGCGGCCGAACGTAGCTCTACGTCCGGTCAGAGGACGTAATAATTGTAGCAGAGCGTATGGAGCTGTGAGTTGAGCTCGAACTCTTCTATAAAATCAGCTCTGATTTAAACATGTGAAGCTGGGCTCACGAGCTCATAAACAGATAAGCTACCTCATAATAATATAACTAATATAATTATTTTTATATTAGCTAAAGTATTTTTTTTCTCTTACCAGAAGCTGTTGGAGTGTTGGTATAGCAGGGATTTGGAAAAAAAAAATCTTGGAGGCAAAAAGACGCCTAGTTAGTTGTAAGGGCATCTCCAACGGAGAACTCCAAAATTTACGGCAAAATAACGCAGAACTCCAAAATGGCGTGATGCTGCTTCAATCGAACGTCATTTTAGGTGTTTTTCGAAAGTTAACGACCTTCTCCCTTTCGCGCGTTTTACTGGTTGAGAGAGTAAAATGGCGTGGGTGAACAGTGCGACGCCAATATTGGCATCGCACTGTTCACCTGCAAGTAAATGGCGGAAATTTTTGCGTTCGGTTGGAGCGACGGACGGACGGCATACGCTCGTTTGACGTTCGGTTGGAGATGCCCTAAGGATTCCCAAAATTAGTTAATGCCGTAATGTCCAAATAATTAATGAAACTATAAAAAAAAAATAACTAAAAGACTAATCTTTCTCAAGAAAAAAGCAGAAACTATCTAGATTCCCTAGGAAAACAAAAAACAAAAAAGAAATAACTTTCTCCTCTTCTCACCCAACAGACATGCAAGAGACACGTCTTTTTCTCAAGCAAACGCCATCTTCCTCTCTTGCAGTGAAGCTGTCATCTCACTAGCTGCTTGCGAGCCCATTGTTTGCCACCATGAGCCCAGCTCATCTCAAGTTCGGACTCCTGATTTGGTCAGCGAGTCTAGCTTGAGTTATGCATGACTCAAGCCCGAGTTTTGCATGACTCGAGTCCGAGTTATGCAAAACTCAAGCTCGACTCGACTCGTTTACACCTCTAAACGGATCTATATTTCATTTCACAAGATAATTTTCATAAATTAATTTTTTAGTACGTTTGATTTTCTTTAGGCTGGTGAATGAGTAATTACCATTTTTTAATGTATTAGTGATTAAACAGTGTTTCAATCATTGGACTCTTAGCTAGAGATAAATCTCTCTACTAATAACGTCACTATTCTTTCACAACTTTTTAAAAATTTAAGTTCACCTTTGATGTTGTTATAACAAAATGTTTCTACTATTTATTGATTATGCTCCAAAAAAAATCCACCAAAACTCTCTATTCGAAAAAATAAAAATCTTAGGAATTTTGTTTGTATGAATAGAGTCGCATCAAATTCCTAGTATGAATTAGGAAATGGCTCAAGCATCAAATGTTTATGCTTCATGTTGTTCATTTGTTGTAGTTTGATTAAGTGATTATTTATGAATCTTTTGAAGGAAATCAATAATTTCTCTAGTATTGAGATTTTGAAATGTTGATAAAACATATTCAAAGAATTTGTAGTACATAAGGATGTATCGACTCTAAAGTGATATTTATCTTCTAATATGCCTCCACTAAGAAAGATGATTAAACCAGCAAAAGAAGCACAACATGGTCAAGGCAAAATTTTTGCTAAAGTTAGGAGATTTATCTAGCGATTTTTAAGCACGGAGAAGTTTTTATGGGGAGAAATATGTATATTTTACAAATGGTGATCACTATCATTAAAAAGGTTTTCAAAAAGTAACTATGGATTATCTCATATGTATAAAGGAGAGCATTGAAATGCTTCTAGTGAAGATTGAGTAGTGAATTTAGTTCTATTAAAGCCTTCTATGGTAAGAGAGTACAACAAGTTGTTGTAGTTGTTTTTTGGTTTTTTAAATGATATAGGGACTAATACATTTTAGAGTAATAAGACAATATCTAAGCAAGGCCCGAGCTTACTACCAAAAAAATAGAGAAGAGTCTCTTGACACCCGGAATGCCTTCAACAAATGACCAAGCAAATCTTACTAAAGTCATGGAGCTAGAGAGAGCAAGGAGTACTAATGAAGTTGCTCCATAAATGGCTATTGTCAAAGTTGTTTAAGAAGAAAATGATACAAGGGAAAAGTTGCCAATAAATGAAGCTAAGTTCAAGAAAAACATTATCAAGATAAAAACTCTTCTTGGGATGGTGGTAATTGAGCTTCATCTCTAAATATCATAAACTTTGGAAATAAAGAGCGATGACAAACTTATGTTTACAAGAGAAACTTTGAGGTGTTTATCCTTAAACTTTGTTCAATGGGAGAAAATTCATGGGTTTAGGGTTTTACATAGCAAGTTTAATGGATTAGTTGTAGATGTCTTCATTTATAGAATCAATGATTTCCCTTCGATTTAGCATTCTGGATAGGAATAAAAATATAGAAAGTAAAAGGTTACAATTTAATATTGTAGCTGTGATTTTTAATTGATATAGCTACCACTTCATTGCTATAATTTGTTAGATTGCACGGGAAAATTGCTAAGAAATAAATGAAGTAGTTAATGGATTATATAATATGAAAATTCCTAGAGGATTCTTGGATGAAATAGTTCTCAATAGTTTTAAGCTCATATTGGTTTATTTGATTGAATTCATCATCATTCCATAGAAAATTAATCGCAAACTAATGCTTTTATAAAACCCGTAGGGGAATCAATATGTTATTGTATAAACCTTTAATGATTCAATGTGTCCTTCCAAGCATTAAAAGATGATTATCTTCAAAAACTAATTGAGCCAAAGGTGGCATAACTTTTTGGCTTCTAGAGGTGATGTACGGTAATTGTATAGATATTATGAAGATATTTCAATTTGATGGGTATATTAGATGAAATGAATGGTGAATTGATGTAGTTTAAGTCAATCTCCCACATAATTTGCATTTAAAATTTTAAACTTATTCTCTTTTGTGTTATGAAGTGTTATACTAGAAAACCAGCTATTTGCATGGCAAAATCCACCATAAAATTCAAGAAATCCGTCACAAATCTTGATTTGCAGCGGATTTGGGACGGATATGGTTCCAAAGATAAAACGAGCACCGCAAACATATTTGCGACTAACAAATTCCGTCATTAAATTTTTGTGGCGTATTTATGAAGGAATAATCTTTATTGAAACGATGCCTTCGTTTGTGTGGTCCGCCGTAGATTTCGTCACAAATTATGGATTATTTGTAGCAGATAATCTGCCATAATTTGTGGTGGATATATCCGTCACAAACGTCGATACCAGGTAGTCGCATCGATATTTATGGCTGATTTTTCGCCGCAAATTCTCCACAAACCTATAGTATAACAAAAAAAAAAAAGCTCCCACAATCATTTTTGGGCTTTCCAACATTTACAATCGAAGCAATTTTAAAAACTAGTTATGAAAAAAAATATATAATCAAATAATATTATTATCTTTTTAGGTCTACCTCTCTACTTTTTTAACTTAAGAGTAAAGCCACTCGTCCACCTAAGAATCCTCATCTATTCAACACTTAACTTAATATTATGCTTATCTTTTAATGACCAACATTCTACGTACATAATAAGACATTGCAGGTCTCACCACCATCTTATAGAATTTTCCCTTAAGTTTGAGGGAAACTATTCTATAACACAATAAGCCCAATGTATCCCTATACCCTTCAACCATCCAACATGAATTCTGCTAATAATATCTCCATTCATTATATCATCACCATGAACAATAGACTCTAAGAGTAAAAATCCACTCATCCACCATCTTAAAGAATTTTTCATTTTGTTTGAGGAAATTTTTCTATCACACAATAAGACTGGTGTATTCCTACACTTTAACCATTCAAAATGAATTCTACACTTCAACCATCCAACATGAATTCTATCTATGAATAATTAACTCTAAGGATTTAGTAAATCCTATAGATTGACCACAAGATTAATGTCGGATTTGAGCAGGATTTAGCGTAAATCCTCCCAAAGAAAACCTCAGTTTACCTCACGATGCACAAAACCTTTGTTTCCCTCTTTTCACTGTAAATCCTAGAATTAATAAACCATATAGTTCAACGGATTTAAGGGATTTGGCGAAAGAAGCCCGCGAAAGGGAGAAAGTCGCCTTCATAGCGAGCGAGCCTCCGTTGTTACTTCTGATCCCAATCCAACAGGAAGGACGTCATCGAAAGAGCAAAGTCAAACAACGATGAAGAACGGTGAACGTTAGTGAGGAGAAGATGGGTCACGAGCCAGGGTCATAGCTGCGGGCGCGGGCACAGAGGAACACATGATGCTCAAGTGAATGAAAGAAATGCCATAGATATCGGTTTAGATAAACTTATTTGAGACGGATTTGCAGCAGATTTGTGACGGAAATGCGGAAGAATTTTCCACCATAAATCTGACACAATTTT